GGTAGTCTATTTTGGCTGTTATTTTGCCGGATAAATTAACCGTTAGAAAAAACAAGTAAAGATAATCAATCTAAATAAATAAATGAAATAATAAACAAATTAAAAACTGCTCCCGCCAAAATAATAGTTAGAATAAACTACGATTGCAAATTCAATGTTCACTTTATATTTACACACGCTATCTATCTCTGATATTGAGCATTTTATCCCATAAATATAGCACACCTTAAGAGCATATTTCTTCATATATATATATATATATATATATATATATATATATATATGGTTTGGGTGTATACTGGGTGTATACTTGGGTGTATTAAAGGAAAATGCACAAAGTGTTGAAAAATACAGAATAAATAACAGAATAGACAATATAATAATATAGAAGGATGAGATGAGATTTGAAGTTCAATAATTCAAGTGTAAAAGACTGGGGCATATGAAAGAGAGAGAAAGAGGGGGGAATATATTTGTATATGTATGTATGTATGTGTGTATCCAAATATAGTAGTCACCTGGTTAACAATGTGGCTGAAGGAAGGTATATATATGTTTTCAAATGCAACAGATGGTTTAGCTGTCTAAAGTCGCCCACGAATCGCGCAAAATGTCGTATTTCAGCTCTGGATATGTTACGATGACCACTGGAACAGTGAATGGACAAAATTAATTTATTGATTTTGGTTTTGGTTGATTTTCCATCGAATTATATGCGTCTCTAGAAATCACGCTCCCAAGTGCAGCTTTGATTCTCATTGACTCATGTCTGGTTGTGAAAGCTTTCTGATTGATTGGTCGAACTATGGCTTTGTGGCCTGACTTTTCTGAATATACATCTATTTTTAGAGATGGCGAGATTTTGTTCTCATTTGTCTATTTTATTTCTTATATATTGGTCGTGAAAATTTTCTGATTTATTTCCTTGTTATTATTTTATTTTTTAAATATATTTTTCTATCACTACAAAAGCACCTATCTGGGGGGTATCTTCCATTTTAACGTCCGAAATGTTGTTTTTTTTTTTACCTACCCAGTAATACTGATTTAAATTCTTAGATTATTAACCTCATCCTCTGAGTTTGGTCAGATATTGGAAAACCAATAATAATAGAATTATATCCGTAAATCCGGTTTTATTTAAGTAGTTGCTTGTTCTATGAAATAAATGATTATTTCCTTTTTTTTAAATCTCTGATTTAATCCATTTTTAATAATGAAAATTTGTGGGGGGGGGGGTGAAAAGGTTGTACCCTTTTTGATTTTATTATTTTTCTTTTTTTTTTATTATTCACTTTTTGGTTACATAGATCGAATTATTTCATTTATGGAAAATGCACAAGAAACGTCTTTTTAGGATATGAGACTAGGTAAAACAAGCTATAAGAAGCTATTCAGTATTGTTGTGGCCTGTTAGGCGCCAGGAAGAAAGACACGGAAAGAAGAAAGCAGGTTTAACAAGTGTATTGAAATAACAGAACATATATACAAAATAAGAGTGTTATTAATCAGCAGAAATAAGTATCCGCCGGAACTGTCAGGTTTACACTGCGTCCCGACTGCCGATATTTAATATCCCCCCCGACGAGGAATGTATGTGGCACAGGGCCGAGATTAACGTGGGTTTCTCCGAGCCCATAGGCTCGGCCAAAAATATTCCCTTAGAACCCGCATATGCGGATTCGGGATCTGTCTACCCCCGCGAACGAAGCTTTCCCCTTCGGCAAAGCCTTGTCCAGATTCCTCTCTGCCAAAGAAGCCGAACACCGTCAGAGACTGTGGGTCGACTGCCTCCTTAGGAAGTCTCGCAGGTTAGTATTTAAGAAGAAGGAAGAGTTCATAGGTCACCATAACAAGTAAAAACGCCCCGAATGTTAAAAGATACAAACATATAACGTAGGTCAGAGCCGGGGAGTCTTATCCCCAAAACCTCCGCTTTAGGTGGCGGGAGGTGGAGGAGGAAGCGTTTTGTGGGGCCTATTGTGGCCTTTGTCATTTTTTTCAGCATTGTTTTATGGCCATCCGCCATTTTAAAAAATTATTTTAAAACTGACATTACATTGTCAGTCATGAAAATGCATCGTGCATGGCCGGGTGTGGTGCATACTACACTGGGACCACCGACAAGGTTGGAGCCCCCCCAAAAGGGTTAGTTTTGGCAGCTTTATTTTATTTTTTGCTTTTTGTACTTTTTACTTTGTTTTTCTAGCTAAGTTATATTGCCAGTCGTCAACTATAATAATCGACAGGGCCGGTGCTTACTGCTCCGAACCTCTCAACTGCATGGGACCCCCATGCCTTCTGGGGAGATTGGGGGTGCAGAACTGCTAATTTCAGTAGCGATTAATTTTTTAAATTGTAAGTTTCTTTCTGAATAATTCTTTTAAATCAATTTATGCATTTAGCTATGAATCGTATTAGTTAGAGGAAACATTTTTGATTTTTTTTTTTTGTGCAAAGACCATGTGTGAAAGAGACTGTCTAGAAAGAGACGCACTACACCATTCATATCAAATGTAAATGCAAATTGCGGATTATCTTATTCGTCAAACGTTTACGGAAAAGTTTTAGCCTATCACTTGTAGCGGACCCCTCGAGCGCCCCCGTATCACAAAAGGGTGATGAGGTCACGAGAGGCCCGCTAGCATTTTCGAAGTACGTAAAATCTGACAAGGTGAAACAACATAGATGACAAAACGAGGATATAAGCTAATTTATTCTAGAAAAGTAATAAAGAAATAAAGGTGGTCGGAACGGTAGAGATGCAGATGTTCCGGTGCAGGCATTGATGGTCGAGGTTGGTCGTTACAGGTGATCGCTGCTGGTCGTTGCAGATGATCGCTGTAGTTGAAGTTGATGTCGGTCGTTGCCGGGATGATTGCTGCTGGTCATTGTAGTTTAAGGTTGATGTTGGTCGTTGCCGGGATGCCAACTTGACGTGTTGGGAAGGAAAGAGAAGCTGGCGTTGCGATGTTGTTCGGGCATGTCAAAGGTCCAGCGCAGGCGTTGCGTGTCTGCCGGTCGAGTCTGATATTAGTAACCTCCCGTAATAATTACTAACGTAGTGTACAGAAAAGGTTATGGACGACATGTAGGCAGCCAGTAGGGACGGAATGCCGAGAGTCGAACGTTGGCAAGGAGCCAGAAGTAGTAGGCGAAGGAGAGAGAAAAGGAAAGTTTCCAACTATTGTCGAGTTGGCAGACAAAAGAAAAATGGGAGCGTAACTTAATAACGCAGCCCAGGTCGACGTCCAGGAGCCTGCGTACCGACCGTTTCAGTCGCCGACCGAGATTTATTTTGTAAAAATACAAAATTGTGGCACAAGGCCGAAAAGGGGGAGTGGGTAAAAGGCTGGTCTTCACTAACTATCTTATACCTAGCTAATTTGATTCACGACCCATTCAGACATTACAATTTACTCATTCACCATAAGAACTCGTCCGTCACCAATCAATCCTCCATGCACCATAATACCACATCCACTCTAGGGAGACCTACAAAACGCGCCCCGTGTCATAGTAATTTTAATGATCCTAACACATATGTACAAAGTTCTAAGATGAAAAAATGAGAGGTGGGGGGAGATGAACCCAATAACAAACTGAAATATTAACATAAATGAAATTAAACGTTAACTGATGTTAGTAGGGCCCGTCCAACCCTCAAAAGGCAGGGAGACCACTGTATTCTGCCCATTGGAACAAAATCAAGCAGCTCTCTCGCTAAGGGAGTAGGAAAGGCGATAAAAAATCATACGGGCATGGGGAAGTATAAAGCTGACCCAGTCGAGATAGAAAGTGGGGGGTGCAAAAAACAAACTGGGGAGGTTGGGAATCTCAGGCTGGATCATAACTAAAGATGTGGCCGGGGGGGGGGGAGGCCGGGAACAACACTTACTCGCATTAACTATGTACACAAAAGCTTGTCTAACCTAACCAAGGGGAGGGCACCACAGGAAGCCACCCCGATGTAACGTAGGCTTGACCGAAAAGAGAAAATCAAGGCTAGCCCTGTTCATACGAACCAAGCTCGCCTCAGACACCCAACTTTGGCTGAAGACTGTCGAATGCAAGCGTTTTCTATCAGTTCTAATCTTCATCTTGAGCTGATGCTTAAAGAATCGGATGAGATCCTGATGAGAAAGACGGATACCCCGCAAGCGAAAAGTCACTGTCTTGTCGCAAGGGAGACTAGCAAGAGAATTGGGTAAGATAACACAGTAAAATCTCTATAAAAAATAAGTCGAGATTAGCTAAAAGGAAACTAAGGCCTAAAAATGTCTAGAAGTATATTACAATTAGGTTTGTAATATAACTAAACTGAAAAGGTAACTTGCTAGTCTCTATCAAGGGTTAACGACGTATAGGGAGCACAACCGAGAGGTTAAGGTCGAAATGACCTGTTCTCTCCCGGTTTAAGGAGCCTAGGAGGAGGTAACTCCGACAAACTAATGTCCTTATTATTATTTATAAAGGCAATTAAAAGCCTAAATCTTAGTTGTATTGCGTTTTTTATTTTTTGGTTCAGAACAATTTTTCGGTAAGACCGGGTTCGATTTTGCAAAATAAAATCGGTGGTTTAAAATTCCTCCCAAAATTCTGCTTTTATAGTCACTACAAATTATCCCTTTGAACATAAAATTTTCATAAAGTTAAAGTAAAAGGGAGAGAAACATATGTATGTAAAAAAAATTATTTTTACCAAGATTTTCTAATAAAAAAAATTACAAAATAATTTCATTCATTTGTGAATAAGTCCTAAAAATTTTATTAAACTCCGAGAATTATTTAATTTTTGCAAGAATTTCTAAATTAATGTGTCTGTCACCGCAGAAAAAAAAGAGACAAAATTTTGCTATGCTAAAAAAAGAAACATAACCTTTTCATATCACAAAAAAAAGAAAAAAGAGAAAAAAAAAGAAAGAAAAGAAGCGTCACATGACTCAAGTGTCACGTGACTGGCGCGCACATGATTTTTCTTTAGATCCTCCGCAACAATCATGAACATCAAACACTTGTGTTGGCTTCTCTCTGGTTTAAGTCTTATTTTGATTCAACCCACAAATGGTGAGTTCTTGTTTTAAATAAATTGAATTCAACTGCAATAATTGGCTGATAAATTTCGTTGTTGGTAAAGAAAGCTCAAGAAGCAAAAGCGATTATTACTCCATTTTTTTAAATTTTTTTTTTATTAGGCTTTTTGAGTGTCAGAAAGAAAGATTTAGGAAGAGTGTTTTTTTGTTTGTTTTTTACAATATTATTCCTGTTATTATTTATTTATTTATTTTTGTTAATCGAGCGTTAAATTTCCATAAATTTAAAAGATGGAAGAGATTTCAACTTGATTAAAATTTATGATTTGGAAATAAAATTGGGATATTTAAATTTTAAAAAGAAACAGAAACCAAAACATAGCAACTCATTTATTTATTTTTTTTTTGTCCCATAGCGAAACATTTCTTACGAAACACTCTTTTTTTTTTTGTTTGTAAGTCAATCATTTTACAAAAAACTTTTTTTATGTGTTTTATTATTGCATTTTCTTCTGACAATTTTTATCTTGCTTTTTTAAATTATTTTTTTCGAAAAGTGGCGTGTTTATTATTTATTTTTAGTTTTATTTTAATTTATTTATTTATAGTTTTACGAACGATGCTAAAACAATTTTTTAAGGAATAGATCGTCACCCCCCCCTGTTCTTTTTCATCTTCAGTAATCAAGAATTATGAAATCTAGAAGCGAAAATGTTCCAAAATGATGGACGAAAAGACTTTTTTCTTTTATTCAATCAGAAGCGGAAAAAACATGCTGCTAAAAAAAAAAAAAACTTGGCGGTCAGTCTAGTTTAGTAAATTAGTAAAAAAATATTTCATAGTAAAACTTGTTTTGCCTACAAGTTGAAGAGACTGAAAGTTCTAATATCCGGGTTTGCAGCAACCTAACCTCGGAGAATGTCTCTCTGGGGGCGATCATGGCACTCCACATCTTCTTTGTTTACTACTTCTCTTACATTTTTTTATCATGTTTTTGTTAGTGGGAGACAACTAAAAATGCTTAATAAATGCTTTTTTTTATTTCTTGAATAATCGCATATTTTGTTTTTAATGATTTTCAATGTTTTGGATAAAGGTTTGGTTCTATAATAATTATTATTTTTTTTTAAATGTATTATTTATTGTACTTCGAGAAACGGACTTTATTTTGTGGACCTGTTTATTTTCGAGAAAATAATAAACAAATGGTTAAAAAAAAAGAATTGGCGGCCGATTTTTACATTTTTTTAAATGTCCATATTAAAAATGTTAAAAAGACCCCCCAAAAAAACTGAACCCTGACATTTTTATGTTGTTGCTTTTGTCGTCCGTTCTACAATTTTCAAAACTTAAAAAATTAAAAAATCTTTTTAACTACTTCGTCGTTTTTCTTTCACTGTTTTTGGATTCCCACTTTAAGGCTTCTTCTCTCTCGTTATTCGCCCGTCTGTGTTTTTTTATTCCTTTGTTTATTACGCCCTTCGTCGTCAAAACAGATGTGAAAATTTATCAGAAATTCCGGTTGATTTCTTTTTGTGTTCTTTGATATTCTCTTCTTTGTTGGTTTGTGTCACGAAATTTCCATCTTTCTCTTAAAAAACTTGATTATTGATGATTGGAAATCAAGTTTTTAACAGAAAGATGGAAATTTCGTGACACAAACCAACAAGGAAGAGAGAATAAATTTAGCCATCAGCCCTCTGGAAATGGAATATGATACAAAAAAAGACAAAGCCGGGTTTACACTGGGATTCTCGAACGTATCAAAAATTGTCCAGTCTCCCTCTTTTGTGACGTCCCAGACATTAGCAGTGAACTACCGTCTTAAAGTGCCATAGGGGATATGTTGCCCGGTGGTGTGTGATGGTTGCCTGGAGATGAACATTTGAAACACTATTGGAGTTCAGGGTGGCGGACACGAGCAGTATGTTTGGAAACATAGTTTAATTTAGTACTTTATATTGTAATTGTTTAACGAAAACTGATTGTTATTATAAGTGTTGAGTTCGATCGTCTCTTGCGTCACCACGCTGGTTGTAAAAGTAAACTATTATTAATACTAATAGTCTTTTTTTTAATTTTTTATTGAAAACTTGTATACATTGTATATTAGTTTTTGTTTGTATCCACCTTTTAATAAACAGTAAAAAAAAATAAAAATTAAAAAGTATGAGTGAAATACTCTCTAGCTACGACAGTGTTTCTCAGCTGGTGTTCCAGCGAGACTCTAGGGTCCCCCAAGAGGTCGCTAGGGACTCCGTGAGAAACAGTGGTAATGGTCCATTGTTGAATACCGTATTTTCCGGCTTACAAGATGCACTTTTTTTTTTTTCCTAAAAAAATACTCTGGAAATTATGTGTGCGTCTTCCAAGACGAATATAAAGCAATGCCCAGGCTCAAGTAAGCTTGGGTGGTCACCTAATTGGCTTGACCGATAGGGACGTGGATTTGTGTTGAGTCATTACACTATAATGTTAGCTATCTAATTCAGCCTTTTATATGATGTAACCTCAGTACATAGCTGTTACAAGTATTTCCAAGACTATAAACCTTCCTGGAGCTGAGCCACAAGCTTAAACATTCTCTGTTTACTAGCAGCAGCGAGAGTCTTTTTTCTCTAGTCATTGCCACACAAACAAAATTGGACGAATGATTAATGTAAACAATACGTGGTTCCAGTATGTAAGGGATGCATGGGGAATGTGTTGTTGCATGAGAATTATTTCTGTAAGCTGGGAAATATGGTAATTTTTGTTTAATTTTATATTTGTAATTTGACTATACATGTCTGGCATATTGTTGGCAAATCCTTGCTTATTATAATAAAGTCTTCAAACTCTTTAAAATTGTAATAATCATAGGGAATGTATTTTTTGATGCCTGTATGGTGTTAATGTGAAACTGCCATCTCTGGTTAGTGGACAAGAATTTGTGTATCATTGAATGAAACTCACTCGAGTACAGAACAAGTGTCCATATATTATGTTAAAGACATGAATTACGATAAAAATGGTAATGTTATCAAGATTAAGACTTATTTTGATTCAACCAACAAATAGTGAGTTCTTGTTTTAAATAAATTGAATTCAACTGCAATAATTGGCTGATAAATTTCGTTGTTGGTAAAGAAAGCTCAAGAAGCAAAAGCGATTATTACTGCAGTTTTTTTATTAGGCTTTTTGAGTGTCCGAAAGAAAGATCAGGAATAGTTTTCTTTTTTTACAATATTATTATTCCTGTTATTATTTTTTTTGTTAGTGGAACATTAAATTGCCATAAATTTAAAAGATGAAAGAGATTTCAGCTTGATTAAAATTTCTGGTTTGGAAATAAAATTGGGATTTATTAAATTTTAAAAAGAAACAGAAACCAAAACATAGCAAGTCATTTAGTTTTTTTGTTTTTTTTGTCCCATAAATGAAACAATTTTTACGAAACACTGTTTCATTTTTATTTGTGTGTGAGTCAATAATTTTACAAAAACTTTTTTTATGTATTTTATTATTATAATCGCATTTTCTTCTGACAATTTTATCTTGTTTACAGTTTTTAAAATTATTTTTTCAAAAAGTGGCGTGTTTATAATTTAATCTAAACTGTTTCAAGAAATAATATTGTAAAATATGATAATTCTAGCTTTTCTAAACAATGGTGTTCATTATTATTAAATTTTGATGAGTAATTCTTTTGTATTATTTTGTATTATTCCTTGCAACTCCTAACTTGGTACTTATTCTATAACCATTATAGAAGCAGCACAGAATCTCAGAAAGGAATGAACAAGATTTTACTATTTTTCCTATACATTCACCAAAGTTAAGCAATGTCGAGTCTGGTCAGTACCTTGATGGGTGACTGCTTGGGATTACCAATTGTTGTAAGCTTGGATGTGCTGGAATGGCTCAGAATTGTTAATCAGAATGCTGAATCCCAATTCCAGTTAGGTTTGCTTATCTTCACTTCCATACAAATACTCTTAGGAAAGGGTATGAATCCAACTTTTCTCTCCCCCCACCTATGGGTTAATTAGTAAAACTTGTATCAATAAATTATTATTATCTCAAAGAAAAAAATCTTACAATCTAAATATATTTGTTGGCTTTAAATAACCTGCAAAATGTTGTTAAGCTGTAAAAAAAATGAACGAGTCAGTCAATCAACAGCAGGAGAGGCATTCAGCTTTTGCAATCTACCTATATTCTTTTTCTTGACATTTTGTTTACAGATAAGACCCTTTTGGAATTTTTTAAACAGAACACTAAATGCATTTAGGTCACTTGTTTCCATTTTATGATAGTCACATTTAGTAAGTAAGACAAGTGAAAGAGTATATTTTAATGTCTACACCTGTGTTACTCATCATCCTTTTTACCAATGAGTCACAGTCTGTTACCCAAAAATGATTTTGTGTATTTAATATCTTTTATTTATTCTCTCTGTTCTTTTTTGTTTAACTAGCTAGCTTAACTAATGTTTATAAATTCTATAAATATGATAGCTTGGCTGCTTGTATCCAAGTATGACTGCTATGTCATCTATCACATCCCTGTTGTGAATGCTTGCTCAGACACTTTAATCAATGACAAAAGAGAAGCCCACCTGTGTTTTTTCTTTTTTTTTTTTTCTTTTTAAGTATTTCACCCCAAGCAAAGTGGGAGGAGTGCCACTAGTACACAAGGGATTACAGTAAAAGAAAGTAAGAGTAAAGAGGGGTGTTTGAGGAAAGGATATAGAGAAGGACAGGGATTAAGATCAAGGCATCAGAAGATATTGATTTATGTTTTTGAAGATTATAGTTATCAGGATAGCAAGTAAGAGGAAGGGAGTTCCACTGTCAGGAAGTGTGAGAGAAGAAGCTGTTGGAGTAGAAGAGGCAGTTACATTTAACTGTTTCAACAGCGCAAGGGTTGCCATGAAAATATTTGTAGAAAAAACAGAGGGAAACCACATCCCGTTTGTGAGAAAGTGACTGGAGTCAAGATGCCAGGTCAGGACCTATCACATTGCATATCCATCTTTGAATTTTGTCAAGA